CCGGGTCACGGACCCTGTCAGCCGCTGACATGTCACGGGCTGCTGACACGTCGCTGACCGGTCACGCAGCAGAGAGATCAGGCCCCGGCCAATCTCCGGACACTTAGCTCTGGCGGGCCTCCAGGTGGTCTGAGTCGGGGCTGAAGGCTGCAGTCGGTCTACTGACGGGCCCGGCCGGCAGGATCCGTCGAGAAACAGGGGGGTCAAGGGAGGTTTTCTTCCCCCTGGGAGAAATGTCCTATGGGTTTTTGGATCTGCGATATAAAAAAGTCTTGTCTCGGTCACGTGATGTGTCACGTGACCGGTCAGGTGAGCCTGTCAGCCGGGTCACGGCCCCTGTCAGCCGGCTGACATGTCACGGGCCTGCTGACACGGTCCGCTGACCGGTCACGGCCGCCCGGAGAGATCAGGCCCCCGGCCAATCTCCGGACACTTAGCCTCCTGGCGGGCCTCCAGGGGGTCTGAGGCGAGGCTGAAGGCTGCAGTCGGTCTACTGACCGGCCCGGCCGGCAGGATCCGTCGAGAAACAGGGGGGTCAAGGGAGGTTTTCTTCCCCCTGGGAGAAATGTCCTATGGGTTTTTGGATCTGCGATATAAAAAAGTCTTGTCTCGGTCACGTGATGTGTCACGTGACCGGTCAGGTGAGCCTGTCAGCCGGGTCACGGACCCTGTCAGCCGGCTGACATGTCACGGGCCTGCTGACACGGTCCGCTGACCGGTCACGGCCGCCCGGAGAGATCAGGCCCCCGGCAATCTCCGGACACTTAGCCTCCTGGCGGGCCTCCAGGGGGTCTGAGGCGGGGCTGAAGGCTGCAGTCGGTCTACTGACGGGCCCGGCCGGCAGGATCCGTCGAGAAACAGGGGGTCAAGGGAGGTTTTCTTCCCCTGGGAGAAATGTCCTATGGGTTTTGGATCTGCGATATAAAAAGTCTTGTCTCGGTCACGTGATGTGTCACGTGACCGGTCAGGTGAGCCTGTCAGCCGGGTCACGGCCCCTGTCAGCCGGCTGACATGTCACGGGCCTGCTGACACGGTCCGCTGACCGGTCACGGCCGCCCGGAGAGATCAGGCCCCCGGCCAATCTCCGGACACTTAGCCTCCTGGCGGGCCTCCAGGGGGTCTGAGGCGGGGCTGAAGGCTGCAGTCGGTCTACTGACGGGCCCGGCCGGCAGGATCCGTCGAGAAACAGGGGGGTCAAGGGAGGTTTTCTTCCCCCTGGGAGAAATGTCCTATGGGTTTTTGGATCTGCGATATAAAAAAGTCTTGTCTCGGTCACGTGATGTGTCACGTGACCGGTCAGGTGAGCCTGTCAGCCGGGTCACGGACCCTGTCAGCCGGCTGACATGTCACGGGCCTGCTGACACGGTCCGCTGACCGGTCACGGCCGCCCGGAGAGATCAGGCCCCCGGCCAATCTCCGGACACTTAGCCTCCTGGCGGGCCTCCAGGGGGTCTGAGGCGGGGCTGAAGGCTGCAGTCGGTCTACTGACCGGCCCGGCCGGCAGGATCCGTCGAGAAACAGGGGGGTCAAGGGAGGTTTTCTTCCCCCTGGGAGAAATGTCCTATGGGTTTTTGGATCTGCGATATAAAAAAGTCTTGTCTCGGTCACGTGATGTGTCACGTGACCGGTCAGGTGAGCCTGTCAGCCGGGTCACGGACCCTGTCAGCCGGCTGACATGTCACGGGCCTGCTGACACGGTCCGCTGACCGGTCACGGCCGCCCGGAGAGATCAGGCCCCCGGCCAATCTCCGGACACTTAGCCTCCTGGCGGGCCTCCAGGGGGTCTGAGGCGGGGCTGAAGGCTGCAGTCGGTCTACTGACCGGCCCGGCCGGCAGGATCCGTCGAGAAACAGGGGGGTCAAGGGAGGTTTTCTTCCCCCTGGGAGAAATGTCCTATGGGTTTTTGGATCTGCGATATAAAAAAGTCTTGTCTCGGTCACGTGATGTGTCACGTGACCGGTCAGGTGAGCCTGTCAGCCGGGTCACGGACCCTGTCAGCCGGCTGACATGTCACGGGCCTGCTGACACGGTCCGCTGACCGGTCACGGCCGCCCGGAGAGATCAGGCCCCCGGCCAATCTCCGGACACTTAGCCTCCTGGCGGGCCTCCAGGGGGTCTGAGGCGGGGCTGAAGGCTGCAGTCGGTCTACTGACCGGCCCGGCCGGCAGGATCCGTCGAGAAACAGGGGGGTCAAGGGAGGTTTTCTTCCCCCTGGGAGAAATGTCCTATGGGTTTTTGGATCTGCGATATAAAAAAGTCTTGTCTCGGTCACGTGATGTGTCACGTGACCGGTCAGGTGAGCCTGTCAGCCGGGTCACGGACCCTGTCAGCCGGCTGACATGTCACGGGCCTGCTGACACGGTCCGCTGACCGGTCACGGCCGCCCGGAGAGATCAGGCCCCCGGCCAATCTCCGGACACTTAGCCTCCTGGCGGGCCTCCAGGGGGTCTGAGGCGGGGCTGAAGGCTGCAGTCGGTCTACTGACCGGCCCGGCCGGCAGGATCCGTCGAGAAACAGGGGGGTCAAGGGAGGTTTTCTTCCCCCTGGGAGAAATGTCCTATGGGTTTTTGGATCTGCGATATAAAAAAGTCTTGTCTCGGTCACGTGATGTGTCACGTGACCGGTCAGGTGAGCCTGTCAGCCGGGTCACGGACCCTGTCAGCCGGCTGACATGTCACGGGCCTGCTGACACGGTCCGCTGACCGGTCACGGCCGCCCGGAGAGATCAGGCCCCCGGCCAATCTCCGGACACTTAGCCTCCTGGCGGGCCTCCAGGGGGTCTGAGGCGGGGCTGAAGGCTGCAGTCGGTCTACTGACGGGCCCGGCCGGCAGGATCCGTCGAGAAACAGGGGGGTCAAGGGAGGTTTTCTTCCCCCTGGGAGAAATGTCCTATGGGTTTTTGGATCTGCGATATAAAAAAGTCTTGTCTCGGTCACGTGATGTGTCACGTGACCGGTCAGGTGAGCCTGTCAGCCGGGTCACGGACCCTGTCAGCCGGCTGACATGTCACGGGCCTGCTGACACGGTCCGCTGACCGGTCACGGCCGCCCGGAGAGATCAGGCCCCCGGCCAATCTCCGGACACTTAGCCTCCTGGCGGGCCTCCAGGGGGTCTGAGGCGGGGCTGAAGGCTGCAGTCGGTCTACTGACCGGCCCGGCCGGCAGGATCCGTCGAGAAACAGGGGGGTCAAGGGAGGTTTTCTTCCCCCTGGGAGAAATGTCCTATGGGTTTTTGGATCTGCGATATAAAAAAGTCTTGTCTCGGTCACGTGATGTGTCACGTGACCGGTCAGGTGAGCCTGTCAGCCGGGTCACGGACCCTGTCAGCCGGCTGACATGTCACGGGCCTGCTGACACGGTCCGCTGACCGGTCACGGCCGCCCGGAGAGATCAGGCCCCCGGCCAATCTCCGGACACTTAGCCTCCTGGCGGGCCTCCAGGGGGTCTGAGGCGGGGCTGAAGGCTGCAGTCGGTCTACTGACGGGCCCGGCCGGCAGGATCCGTCGAGAAACAGGGGGGTCAAGGGAGGTTTTCTTCCCCCTGGGAGAAATGTCCTATGGGTTTTTGGATCTGCGATATAAAAAAGTCTTGTCTCGGTCACGTGATGTGTCACGTGACCGGTCAGGTGAGCCTGTCAGCCGGGTCACGGACCCTGTCAGCCGGCTGACATGTCACGGGCCTGCTGACACGGTCCGCTGACCGGTCACGGCCGCCCGGAGAGATCAGGCTCCGGACACTTAGCCTCCTGGCGGGGCCTCCAGGGGGGTCTGAGGCGGGGCTGAAGGCTGCAGTCGGTCTACTGACGGGCCCGGCCGGCAGGATCCGTCGAGAAACAGGGGGGTCAAGGGAGGTTTTCTTCCCCCTGGGAGAAAGGTCCTATGTTCCAGCTCTCCTACATCTATTACAGGAAGCTCCAGGACCTCTACCTCACCAGCGAGGTCTACAACGGCTACGCCCACGCCGACGACAACTCGTACGACAACAACTACAAGATCTCGCTCACCGACCCCGTGCCGATGGACAACGGCAGCTACCCCTCCCTGACGGGCATCACGGACCTGTTCCAGCAGGTGGAGAGCTACATCATGAGCGGGGACATCCAGAATGGCTACTTCCCCCCGAACTCGGGCGTCAACCGCACGGAAAAGGCCCTGAGGTCCTTCTCCATGACGTCGCAGGGCAGCGGCTTCCTCACCCTTGGCTCCTCGTACTTCGACGCCTCCCTGGGCGTGCTGCAGTACACGCTGCCGAATCTCGCCTCCAGCTTCCTGAACAGCGACCTCGACCGTATCCTGGCGAGCGTGCTGCAGTCGGACGAGACCCTGGAGGACTGGACCTACAACGGGCTGCAGTACGAGTACAGTGCTTTCCAGAGCTACTCCTCCCTCGCGGACAACGCCCGGGGGGTGATGCGGCAGACCAAGTGTCTCAACGTGAAATTCATCACGAAAGAGCCCGACGTCTCGCAGAACTTCATCGACCCGGTGGTGCAGCTCTGTGCTATCGACGGCTCCTGCCGCTCCGTGGACATCTGCCCCTCCGCCCCGAGCTACGACGCGAGGACGGGCCAGAGCTGCGACCTGCTGCACGACTCGCTCAACGACAACTGCACCACCAAGTACGTCCACCTCATGGAGTACCTGAGCGGGCAGGGCATCGTGATGCAGACGCACTGCAAGCAGGACCTCTTCGTCCGCGATTTGTACACCAACCCCTCCCTCACCGTCCAGCAGGTCTCCAACATCGACCTCCCGACGGCCAACCCCGCCGGCACCATCTGCCTCCGCACGGACTCGACCTGCCTGCAGGACAAGGGGCTGGGCGGCGCTTCGATCGACGTGAGCGCGGTGCGGTCCACCCTCGGCGTGGACGTCTACACCTTCTACCGCCCGATGACCGACTACAGCGGCGACCCCAACTCTGACACCTTCTACGGCGAGCTCTACCAGAAGAACTCCACGGGCTGGTACCCGGCCTGGATCGACTGCTACAACGTCTCGGGCCTGAACAAGTCGCGGCTGATGTCCTGGACCGGCTGGGACCCTGCGCGGGTCGCCGCGGTGAAGGACACCCTTCTCGGGCGGGAGCATGGCTACGGCTCCACCCCCGACCTCAGCGTGCTGGGCCGCGAGGCGGTGTGGAGCGACGCCTCCTACCGCCCCACGGGCTTCAGCTACCGCTGCGGGACGTCGTCCTGCGTGGGCAGCAACGGGGAGACGGTCCAGTGCCCCGGGGGGCTGTGCAACGTGGCGGTCCAGGGCGCCGCGGTCCACGCCGTGGCGGTGGCGCTGAGCAACAGCTCGGTCTACTTCTGCGCCAGCGGGGTGGCGGAGGCGCTGGTCCTGTGCCCCGCCCGCCTGACGAACGACAGCGTGCTGGTGGAGGTGAGGAACAACCTCTGGTACTGCAAGGCCGACTGCCAGCGCGCCGTGCTGCTCAAGTACATCGGCAAGCACTCCTTCCGGTACAGGACGCTGGTGGAGGGCGTGCTGGGCTTCACCGCCTCGGACCGGAACCAGATCGGGCTCAGCCCGACGAGCAACGCGGCCAACGGGTACTCGCAGAAGGACGCCTTCCGGCTGGTGCACTGGCTGGTCTCCAGGCAGGTGCTCGGGTCGGGCAAGGCCCTGCCGGGTGCCATCTACAACAGCTTCTGGACGCCGCCCGACGGCTTCAGCTCCACCTACATGTCGCGGCACTCGCTCTACCCGTACACGACCCTGACCCTCTACGACTACGTCAACTACGTCTCGCAGGCGGCCACGATGCGGAGCCAGCCGCTCTCGACCTGCATCAACCAGCCCGTCACGATCAACAACTGCGACAACCAGCACACCACCAGCCTGGCCTCCTGTGTCTCCGCCCTGAAGCGCGCCTCGGCCTACACCGCCGGGCCGGGCGAGGCGGTGCTGGTCCGGCTGACGGCCCTGCAGCTCACCTCCCCGTACCTGATGCACTGGGCCGACGCCAGCAGGCCCTCCCGTGACCAGTTCGTCGACTGGCTGCTGAGCCCCACCCGCTGCGCCGAGACCCTGCAGTCCGAGGCGGTGTGCTAAAAAAAAAAAACACTTAGCCTCCTGGCGGGCCTCCACTGGCAGGGGGTCTGAGGCGGGGCTGAAGGCTGCAGTCGGTCTACTGACGGGCCCGGCCGGCAGGATCCGTCGAGAAACAGGGGGGTCAAGGGAGGTTTTCTTCCCCCTGGGAGAAATGTCCTATGGGTTTTTGGATCTGCGATATAAAAAAGTCTTGTCTCGGTCACGTGATGTGTCACGTGACCGGTCAGGTGAGCCTGTCAGCCGGGTCACGGCCCCTGTCAGCCGGCTGACATGTCACGGGCCTGCTGACACGGTCCGCTGACCGGTCACGGCCGCCCGGAGAGATCAGGCCCCCGGCCAATCTCCGGACACTTAGCCTCCTGGCGGGCCTTC